TTAGGGAATCAAGGGGTTTTCTTTTTTTTTTTTTTTTTTTTTTTTTGGTTTGGTTGAACAAAAGAACTGATAAATGAAAAAAGCCAAGTTGCCTTGGCAACTAGGCAAGGATTGGAAGAGCTGTTCATAGTTCAAAACATATGTAGAGTTGCATAGTAACTGGCATTACAAGGCTGTTTATATACAATGGACACACCTATTGAGTCAATATTGCTACTTTTCCCCCACATTTTGGAATAGTACTGAAATAACCAAAAGCTATACAAATTGCAGTATTGTGACCAAAAATATCTAACAAATAAAACCTAAATAATATTTTAGCTTGTTTAAATTCACCACCCTTTGCCTAGATTGCAGCTTTGATTACTCATGTCAGTCAAATTTTTGTAGTGCATCATGGGATACTTGTTAAACAGTATTGAAGGAGTTCCCATGTATGTAGGACATGCGAAAACGGCTTTTGCTTCACTATATGGTGGTCCACCTCATCAGATTAAAAAAATAAAATAATAATAATAATAATAAATTCATCCATCCATTCATTTTCCAAACCGCTCATCCTATGTCAATGGAATGCTGGAGCATAATAATAATAATAATTTTGTGGTAACACCTTACAATAAGGTCCCATTAGTTAAGACATAAACTAACATTAACTAACAATGAGCAATACATACGTTACAGTGTGTATTAATATTTGTTAATGTTACTTAATAGAAATACAACTGTTAATTGTTAGTTCATGTTGCTAATATTATGACAACTTTTTTTAATAATGTATTGGTAAATGTTGAAATTAACATGAACTAAGATGAATAAATGCTTTGGAAGTATTTTCCATTGTTAGTTCATGTTAACTAATGTTAACAAATAGAACTTTTAAAGTGTTACTAATTTTGTAAACAAATTCAGGCAAAGGCACAATTTATATTCACCTATAAAACTAATTTTAAGAAAGATTTAGATCAAAACGATTTGACGATCAAGAGAAACATTCAGTCAAGTGTATCCAGACGTTTTACTGGTACTGTAAGTGTGTATATCACTGATTCATGTTAGCATGGTAATGTTTATGTAATGCTAATTCAGCTTCTACTTAAAGTTAAAACAATAATTCTTAATTCTTCATGAGTGAACTATGAAGTTATAATCATACATGTTACCTTATTAATCATTAAATATTAATGGAAGGCTGTATTTGTCAGCAGCTTATTCTGTGTTCTGATTAAATAATGCATGGCAATCGGAGCCAGCCTTAAATCAATTATAAATGTTACATTTTATGCATGGAGCAACTAGAGAGGGCAAGATGATGAATAGATTTCTGATATACAGAACTGATTTTAATTTATATTAATTTATCATTTAAAATCAATTTTTAACCAAAATATATTTCATATAAATCCTACTGTCTTAAAAGGACAGTCAAATTAACATTGTATTGTACTGGTGTATTATATTTTACATTATTATATTGTACATTTAAGATGACATGACTGAGGATAAGAAACAATATGAAACCTCAGTATAGCATTTGGTTTATCCATTGTAAAAAGACTATATCCATGGAGGAAAAAGTCTTCATAGGATATAATCATCAATAATCTAGATTTCATTTCATTTCTATTCAGTGCAGTATTTGAAAGTGAGTGCACTGCATAACCACTAGATGGCGTGTTTACTCTGTAAATAAGCATCAGTGTTGTACGATTATACTAATGTGGATTTGTTTAAAGCCTTTGTTCAAATATGCCACAGCATTTTCCAGACAGCCGTAAACGCCTTAATTTGGCATCAATACAAATCAAACACAGGCTAATGTTCATGAACAAAGCTTCAATCACTCTAGAATGCTTGTACAACTTACAGCAAACCACATGCTTCCCAAATTTTCTGTATATTTAATCAAGATGTTTAACAGGAAATATGATCTATCTTACATTATGCAGGGTGTAAATTTTTTACAAAATGGTTCACTGACATCTATAACAATTTTTTGGCCGGCAGGGAAATGTTTATATTATCTGTTTTATTAACACTAGGGGTCAATCAAGGACTGTAAAGCAGTGGGTTCAGAGGTCATAAGGTGATTGGTTGATAGGGGTGAGGGGTCAAATGTGTGTTGACCAATATTGACAACTGATTAAGCTTGATAAGGTAATAAGTCTAAGAACCTAATAAACACAAGAACAATTCTTGGTGTGGACGTTTATCCTTACTAAGATGTTCTGAGCAGACATATTTAAAAGAAAAAAACGATGGATTTCTCAGATATTGGCCAATGTCTTTCATTAATGTCTTGCTTTATTTGTCAACTTTTGTACTATGTTCATTATATGTTGAAATCCAATATTTTGTTTAGTATTGCAGATAATTACATTGAAATCTTAGCTTATCATCATTGGGATCATCAGCACCTGCCTTTATCAGAACATTCAGGAATTTCACACTGTTTATAAAGTCTGTGTAACTGGATCCGGTAGGATCTGGCAGAGCCGTTGCGAAGAATTGCCTGTGAAAGCGATTAGTGTAGTCTAGGAACGCTTTACTGTATATTTTTGGACAGTATCACTGCAGTTGTGAAAACAGGAGAGAATGTGAATATTTTTCAAATGGAAAAGATGCAGCTCTCTATGTACTATTATTTATGAGCTAATGTTTAGGGATCTGCTTGTTTTGTAGAGCATTCCTCCAAAATACCCCCTACCAAACAGCTTTATTGGAATTTCCTATAAGCGTCTTTCTGAGCACTAGTGTAAAGAGGGCATGTTTGTTTAGGCTTGTTTGATTATCTGAACTATTACGCCATGTCAACAAGCAGCGTCTAATTGTTTTGTGCGAGAGCTCTCTTATCTGTCCCAGCAGAATTTTTTTATTCTTGATCTCATATCTGAATTATGAGCCTCATCAGGTCTGCTCTACCCCCACCACAACTGCACAAAAACCTCCTTGCATACACGTAGCTGGCCTCGTAAATGCAATATTCGCTCTCTCTTTGTCATTCCCTGAAATTGCTCTCTGTTTTGCTGGAAGGTCATTTATTTATGTGCTCTTACAGTCAGCAAGAACAGAAAGAGCTTTCTGATCCCTGCACCTATAAACCAAATGCAATCTTGTTCCCACAGCATTTTTTAGATATAAATGATACTATATACATCAAGTCAAGTGGATTGCTAATTTTTGAGGTAATCAGAATTACATGTTAGTGGATAATAAAACAGGTCTATCTAGGGAACAGCTTGTGGCTCTTTTGACTTAGGCTATTAAGCATTGGCCAAAACACCATATCAACCACCTAGCAATGCCATGTCAACACCCTGGTGACCGACTATAACACTCTAGCATCATGGCAGTACATTTTATACTACTGTTTATAGTTTCGGGTTTGACTGATTGATTTATTTATTCATTTATTTGAAAGAAATTAATACTTTTTTATTTAGCAGGGATGCATTAATTTGAACAAAAGTGACAGTAAAGAGATTTATCTTTTTATTTATTATTTATTTATTGTTTCTATTTAAAAAATGTTGTTCTTTTGATTTTCTATTCATCAAAAAATCCTGAAATAAAAATCATGGTTTTCACAAAAATATTAAAGGGGTCATAGGATGCTACATGCACTTTTACAAGTTGTTTGAACTGAAATGTGTGTTGGTGGTGTGTGTACACAACCACCCTATAATGATAAAAATCCACCCAGTGTTTTAAAAAAAAATCTGGTTAAATGTTTTCCCCTTTCTAAAATCACTACCATTAAGAAATTTTAACCAAACTATGTTACAGACTTTTCATTAAGACCCCAAAGAATCATATCAACTTGTGGAAAATGGGCATCCTATGACCCCTTTAAATGGCACAACTGTTTTCCTTAATAATTGTAAGAAATCTTACTTAAGCAGCAAATCAGCATATTAGAATAATTTCTGAAGGATCATATGACACTGAAGACTGGAGTAATGGTGGCTAAAAATTCAGCTTTGCCAACACAAGAATAAGTCACACTTTAAAATACTTCAAAATAGAACACAGTTATTTTAAATTCCAATAATAATTTCAATACTACTGTTTTAGTGTATTTTTGTTCAAATAAATGCACCCTTCGTGACCTTAAGAGACTTCTTTCAAAAACAATGAAACATTTTTTTTTTACCAGCCCCAAACCTTTGAACAAGTAAAAAAAAAACAAATTTTCCCATTTTTTGACTTACAAAACATCATTGAGATCCAAATGCAAAAATAAAAAGCAGAAATGAAACCATAACACAAACACTGCACAAATCTTTGATTGCACTGATGTAGTTTATGAATTTAAATTAAGCTAATTTGCTCTTGATGATGTAGGAGGATTGTGATCGAGTGAATTAGAGTTGAAAGAAATTAGTTTGAAGCTTGTTTCCAAGACTGGAACGATAAAACGGGTTGGTTTATTTCTCCTTCAGAGATGGCTGAAAGGGCTTAACTAAACACGACATTCAATCTAATGCTTGGCTACTCTGTGTTCCTGTTGGAAGCCCGGCGTTTAATGGCAGAAGCAGACAGAACGCCTCTGCGGCATGAGGGGAACCCACATGATAAAGTCAAATGATCGTTGCAACTGAGAAACTAAACTAAAGGCGAATGCATTCTAAAGGCAGACGGTTCTCTCATCAGTGATGGCAA